AGCCCAGTCTTAGAAAATAAGCAAGCCCCTCCCTTTGGGCCCACCGCACGTCATGATAGCAAGCCTCCTAGAAAACAAGCCAGCCTGAGGCTTCTCACTCCCAAGAAACGGGAGATCTACTTCAAGACTGGCCCCAGCCACCCTGGGGACAGAGGCTGTTCCTGCGAGCCCCCAGACACCCTACGCCCTCCCCCAGCCCTAGGATTTCCAGCAAGCCGGCTGCCTCTGGTGAGTGACTTTAACCTGTGAGTTACTTTAACTTCTTGGAGCTTTACGTTTGCTCTCTGTGAAAGGGGAAGACATCTATTTTCCTTTGGGAGGGGATGAAGTGAGCCAAGGTGCTGAGCCCAGTTTAGCCCAGATGAATCGCATGCACTCTCCACCAGAAACCTGAGTTCTGCTAGCACTGAAATATAAGGTGGTATATAAGCCTGGGCTGGTTGAGATGAGCATTCACCACTGGCCGGAGGTAGGATGGTTTGATCAAGGGGCTCAGTTTATGGGTCATGTTCCCGTATATTCCACCAGGTGGCGTCATGGGACAACATTAACAGAGCTTCTAGCCAACAAGCCAGATCACTATCCTGGTACAAGGGGACGGCAGTTCATTATCTAGCTCAGAGTTAAAGAAAGCCTGAAGATGTCATTCTTCATGGCTTCCCTAGATTGCCTTAACCTAGACTTTTGCCACAACCATGATGGAGTGAGGGGGAGGACAGTGACTGTGGCAACGCCAAGACTTGTCAACAGTAAAGTGTATTAAGCACCTACTATGGGCAAGACCCTGCAGCAGGCAGCCTCTAGTTTTAGGGCTGAAAGGGGTTTTCAGGAAATTCAGCCTTGCCTCTTTCTTTTCCAGAACAGGAGAGGAGGGAGTGTGTGTCATTCCTGCCTATTAGAGGTGGTAGAGAGACCCTCCAGATTCGCCTTGGAGTATAGCATGACTCAAGGGGGTCCCTTGTTCTAGGTAAGGCTGCCATACCTCCTCACTAAGCCAGACAAAGCCCAGCCAAGACAGTAAAGTCATGCTACCCAGTTGCACAGGGAGCCCAGAAAATAAATCTAGTTGTGACTTGTAAAGCTATTTCTCCCTTACCCTCTCCTGGCACACAGGATCACTGCTGAACTGACTTAGCATCTAGAACTAAGTTTAAGCCATCCAAGGAGCCCCGCCCCCCCAATCCATGCCCTCAATAAGCAGAGGTCTTTCTGTCGGGGCCCCTACACTTTAAAGAAATAGCCTCGTGGGGTGGTTCAGGGTCAGAGGTGCAAGGTCCTGGGGGTCAAACCCTATGTCACAAATGACTCCACTGAGGCTCAAAGAGGGTGGATTTATACCCAAATAGCAAAACACCACAGAAAGTGAACCTCTCTATATACTAAAAATGAATGTGTCCAGAATACACTGCTAAGTGAAAAAGAGAGGGCAATTTTCCATCTTTTGAAAGGAATAAGAAGACAAAATTAGTATATTCATTTGCTCATATTTGCACAGATAATTCTGGAAGGATTTAAAAGACACTGAAAACAAGAGGCAGGAGGGTGGTGGGCAGGGAAGAGAGATGAGTGGATGGGAACAGGGGAGGGAGGCTTTTTCTGTAAACATTTGTATGTTGCTTGATTTTGGAACCATGCAAATGTCTTACCTTTCAAAGACTAGATTTGAAAACAGCTTGCCCGGGATCATATAGTCTTTCCCACAGTTGGATGGTTTTACCTGGCAGGATGTGAAATGATTTGGGTTGGTATGTGCGATGATTATAAACAATTCACAAACACAGCACTGAATCATATGGTGAGAAAGTCATTCCCTTTCTTTTCTCCTCAGTCTTCTGAACCCATGGAGGCGACTCAGATGCTAGTGGGTCTTGAACACCTTTCTCAATCCTAGTAAACTGCCTGGCTAACAAAGCAAGCAGGCACCATGCTTAAAGCCCTGGCCTATAGCTTCGGTTAAATAAAGTAGAATCACATTATTTCTTTACACTGAATTTACTTATATTAATAGCCCCCATGATTGGTAACCCTGGAATTCTGTTCACAATAGTGATACTGTATGGTAATATACAGAGACTTCTTTCTCAATATAGATTTAAGTAAAATGTGAGTTGTTTTAAAGAAAATTAAGTAAATCTTAGTGCTTTGTGAATATGGCAACATGATTTTGTGCCAGAAACTGTGGTAAGCACTTCCCATTAATTAATGTATGTGGTCCTTCCACCCCTTCAGAGACAGGAAAGGTCACGGAGGGGTAGGGAGAGCGTAGGCTGTGTCCAAGGTCACTGGTTAACTGTTGGAGGTTATGGGAATTTGAATCTAGGCATTGATTCAGGCCATTGTGGAGGTGCTGGTAGGCCTGCAGCCTCCCTCCCCTCCAGCCCCCACCAGAAAACCAAACACACACACACCAGGGGAGCTACAGTTGGTGGCCCCCCAAATGCAGACCTGCCGCAGGATTGAGTACAGCAGTTGCTCTAAATGTTCAGGCTTCATCTTGGGCAGCTCCAATTTCCTCCTCCAAGCTCCAATCCCTAAAACCAAGCAGTTTCATTCTCCCTTTTCCCTCAAACCAGAGGGTCAGAAACACTCACAGAGCCACCCCCACAGGTGCACATCCTCTGTAGTCCACCAAAGCCCTCCCTGGACCTGCTTCTTCAGCTCCCCCTCGCTGCTCCTTTGGGCCCCGGGCAGCAGCACCAGGAGTGATCTAGGCTTCTCCCCTGTCTGTTCTGCTGGATGAGCTTGAGGTTTCTCTCTCCATCCGGTTCTGCAGCAGAGCACCTCACTCCCACCACACACCCCTGCACAGCCCTTTAGGGACCCTCTGTGAGGTGACTGGGTTTCTCCCCTTGTCCCGATTGCAATGAAAATGTCAGGCTTTCAGGAAAGCAGGGAAGGGAGTAAGTGACTCTGGTTCAAAGCTGGGAAGCTACAGAGGCGGCCCAGGCCTACAGCTGCAGCCAGAGACCCCACGCCCACCCCGTGCCCTCTGCCCTCACAGAGCCGACCGTCACAATGGGTCCTGCAGGCAGTAAAGCCCGCCCGCTCCTGCCTCCCTCGTCTCCCTCTCTGAGTGATCATGGGTGACTCCCCACCTCTCTGGACCACAAGTACCCACTGCACTGTTTGGGGCTAAACTTCCCTTCTCCTCTCCCCCCACGCCCATCCCCCCATCCGCATTGCCCAGAGGGCTCTGTAAGAGGCAGCCTCGGCCACATCCTCCAGTATGGCTGAGAAGTCCAGGACGGGGCCTGGGAATCTGCAGTTGTAAGTTTCTGTGTATAGAACCACAGGCAAGACAGAAGTGTGGTCACAGGTATTTAAACCCTACCTCCCTTCCCCCAGCTCCCTGGGGACCCTAGGACAATCCCTGGCTCCTCTGCCTCTGCAGTGAAATAAAGATGAAAGAGACAGTACCTAAATTATGGGGTTCTGTTGACAAATGACGTCAGTGCTAGCACAGGACCTAGCACCCCACATGCTCTGCTGTCCATCCTGTCCTGATGAGACCTGCAGTAAGCCCTCTGCTTCCAAGAGAGGGAGAAGCACTTGCATTTCTGTAACAGCCGGGGAGTCTGAACAATGCAGGGCTGCCCAGCCTGGCGCCTAGACACCTAGAACAGAAGAGTGTGGCAGCTCGGCTGAAGCCCACAGCACAGAGCCCTGGTCCAAGGTGCAACATCAGCAAAGGCACAGGGATGGTCGGTCCCGCCTTCCTGGGCCCTCTGTCCACTGACCTACCGTGCCTCAGGCGAATGACTCAAGAGTCGGGGTGACCAGGATTGCCATCCCTTCTCAGAGACGAGGTACAGGCTGGAGAGGCTGAGAATGTATCCCTTAAGAGAATTTCTATATTGAGGCCCACTTAAGATTGATTGCTCCAGAGAGTCCTACAGTTTTGCAAGGAAAAAAAGGGAACACCCAGCCCCAGAGACATGATGGGGGGATGCTATGCAAGAACACCCTGTGCTCCTGGGGGCCAGGCAGCAGCTGCAGGAGTTGAGGGCTGGGCCAGCAGGTGGACAGGCATGCCAAGGTGGAAGGAGATGCCTTGGGGAACAGTCAGCTCAGGAACCACCTCCCCTCTCCCGGGTCCCGGGGTAGCTGCTGGGACCCAGGCCTTCCTTCCCTGGTGCAACCCCACCCTCATGGGCCCAGCACCTGCCACTCTACATGCCCTTCATAAAGGGAACACATGTTCCAACAGTGCTAGGAAATAAAGACAGAAACTGCGTGAAAAGAATCCTGTCCCGCAAAGCTCCCACAGGAATGTCTATGACCAAGTCCCTCAAGGAAAGCAGTGGCACCAGGGCCTGGGGGCAGGGTTCTGTTGGGGTCAGCACCGCAGACTCTCAGGAGAGACACAATCTCACTCTCTTTCTCCCATCCTCCCCCACATATACCCCATAATAGTTTGTTTCCCCAAACAATCAAGCTCAAAGAGATCCTAAGAAGAGGGTGAGGAATCTGGTCTCAGGGAATAGGAAGCCTTCATGCTCACCAGTCACTCTCTGACCTTTAACCCTCTGCCCACTGTGGGCCCAGAACCCTCAGTCAATCCAATGCAACCCCCACCCCGGCACACCAGGGCTCAGCAGTCAAAGCTCAAATGCCCTCTCACAAAAGCAGGTTACATTCACCCTAGATGCACTGAACATTCAGTGCCAGCCCTCCAACCCCCGCTTTCCAAAGGGGGTGTGCCACAGCCCACACAAGGGAGACCTTGGGCCTATATCCCGGGTTCTACCACAGCCTCGTCAGTCGTTGTGGCCAGAGGACTCCTCCCTACAAGGTCGGCCCTTCAAATTCAGCATCTCCATGTGAGCCTAGAAGTTATCCAAGCAGCAGACAAGAGGCCCAAGCCCAGGTTTTACCTAAGCCCCCCACCACCTCCCAGAGCCTGTTCAGATAAATTTAGAACCCACCCTCCACGGTCAAATGGCCCCTTCTGCCCACCTGCTCCACGTCTTCCAGCTCTATGTGCAGCTGTACAATTATTTACGAATGTCCTTACACAGATTCGTTTTTAATTTCTTTATTGAAAATACCACCACAATAGATAGAACGCCAGTACCAGTTGTCATAAATAAAAAGATAGCCAATAAAAATAGACCATTAAAACAAAACGGTGCTATAAAAGTCTGGAAACTTTACCACATGCCCTAAGCCCAAGGCCTGCTCCCCGGAACGGGACATCAGCACGTGTTCCAGAGGCATTAGAACATATTGGCACCAAGCTGAGACTTTCTTCTTGGCATAAAAAGACTGGAAGAGAATTGAAAAGGGAACCCTTTTCTTGCTCCAACCTTGTGCTTAATGCAGGCCCAACACTACCTAAAAACACCACAAGGGAAAGAGGGTATCCACCCAATACTTTGGAAAGGCTAGACTAGAAGACCCCTCTGCCTCACGCTTAACACAATGTGGAAACACATTCTCTGAGCACGTTCAAGGTACCACCAGACCCTGTCCCTGTCCCCGTGTGCCTGCTCTCACACCAAGGCCCAGCACCTCCCTCTCCCCCACGCCTGCCCCGAGGTCACCGCTGACTCAGGTGGGACACCAGGTACACGAGGCCCACCAGCAGGAGTCCACGAACGCCAAGCATCATGAGCAGGAAGAGGAGCAAGATGGAAGTCACTGGCTCCACAGCATGGTTCCCAAGATGCCACTGGGGGAAACCCATGTTCACCAGCTGCCGATTCAGGTCATTGAAGGGGGACTGTGCTGCAGCCAGCCTGGCACCCGCCTGCTGCTGGCGGGGGCTGGGGCCTCCCAGGGGAGTACCTTGGCCCCTGTTGAGAAAACTCTGGAAGGTGAAGACAGAAAGAGATAAATGAATCCAGAGTAAGTTTCACTGGAGTGGCGGCATCAGGCAGGAGGGGATTCTCTGGGATGGGCCCTGCCCTCCCCCTATAGCCACTCAGGGCCACATCCTCCTTACCCAGTAATCCCCAGATGCTACCCCCAGGAACCCCAACTACTGAGTCACAAGCTCTCAGAGCACAGAAAATGCCAGTCCCTGTTCCCCAGGCTGTGGCAGAAAGTGCCCAGGACAGAGACAAGAGGACAGGATAAGGGTAGGTTGCACTAGAGGGCACAGCTTTTGGACAAGCATGTTAATACTCCTTGTTCCCTCTGTGGCCATGGCTCATCTGGACTTACTCCCCAGATTCTGCCTCATCCAACAGATTTTTAAAAGAATACTGAGCAAACTCTAGTGGGGTTTGCTAACCAGGTTAAAGGAAGAAATAGCCCTCAGGTTTGGAAGTCTGGGAAGGCTGCCGGGAGGAGGAAGACATAGGAGATGGGGGCTGGGCAATAAATCTATTGCGCTTTTCTTTACCTCTACTATCTCTAGCGCAGCCTGCTGCAAAGAGGGTTTTGGGCTACAAAAGGTTGACAAGAGAGTTTCTGGGCACTAAGGAGTAACTGGTACCGAGGCCAGGAGGCAAGCTGCTCCCCCTCTACAGGGCTGGGAGCATACCTGTCGAATGCTGTTACTGCGTGTAGTGGTGTTGGTCCTCACACGGGGGTCGTCATCCTGCACAATTTCCCCATTGGCCAAGATCCGCACCATCTTCCCTGGAGCTGCAGGTCCCCACGGGGCTGACCCTTTCCCCAGACCTCAAAAAGCCTGAAGGAAACAATTTACCAGTGATAAATATATAATTCCTTAGTGGGGGAAAAAACACAATTCTGGGTGCTCACATTGGTTGCCCATGCTGAGAAGGTGCTGAATCGATGACCAAAAAGAAGGGAAATAACGCAAGTTATTTGCCAGGCAAAATTCTGCCCGCTGAGAAAACCATCAAGAGGATTCCTTGAGAACCTTTGCTGTGGCCCAGGCCCTACGGTAGGGCCGCGTATGCCTCCCACCAATTCTCTGAGGCAGGCACAGCTAGAGATCTGAGAGATTTAACAAGCTTGCTGGGACCACACATCTATGGGCAGCACAGAAAGAGCTGGAAGCCAGAAACCCTCTTTGTAGGCCCTTTTCTGGGTAATAATTAGGGAACCCAGGGCACCAGGATCCCCGGTCTCTCAATTTCCCTTGGGTTAAAAAATTGGTCCAGTGAACTGTCCCCTCAGGTAGTAAATGCCAAGAAACTGGACCTTCTCTGGGAGGTGAACCCCCAGGAGATACCAGCCCACTTCAGAGTTAATCTAGCTCACTGCCTGGCTGCACACCACACTGGTGGCCGCACAGCCATGGCGCTGTCTGCGATGTGACCTTTCCTACAGAAGACACACCTCTCACCTGAGCCTCAGCGGTCAGGTAACACCAGTCCCTCCTTTGCTAACAGGGCAGGGTCCAATCTCCCCAAAATATGGGATGGGGACGCTGCTGTTGCTCTGGGAAGGCCTTACCTGCAGACCAAGCGAGCCCAGGAGTCGGGGGAGGAGGGGCTTTGGGGGAGGGGGAGGCCCTTCCAAGCCTCTCCGGTCTGTGAAAGGGCCTTTTTTCCCTGAGCCACATTTTTCATGCAAATTCTCAAAAGCACTCGGGACACACACAGACCAGAGGGGGACGGGCCCTGTTCTCCTGCGGGCAACCTGGAGCCTGGGGCCGGCGGCGGGTCCTCGATTTGAAGCCTGGCCCCGGGGAAGGCCCATTGGGGGTGGCGCCCACCGCAGCTCCCGAGTGCTTTGTCATCCCGCCCCGCCGGGGGGCCGGGGGTGCGCCCTCCCTGCACCTGACACCACCTGGGGGCGCCTGCAGCGGGCAGCAGGGCCGGGGGGCTCCGCGGAGGGGGCGCGGCCCAGATCCCCAGCCCAGCTCCGAACCCTGGCTCGGGGGAGGGGGGGTGCGCCTCAGTCCCCTCGCACTCGGGCCCCGGACACCCACCTGCAGGCGCGGCTCGCGGGCCTCGGCGACGTCCACCGCCGGCGGCTTGCAGGCCGCTTCCTCCCACCTGACCTGACAGGAAGCGCGCGCCGCAGGGCCCGGACCAGCGGGCGGCGCGGCAGCTCCCTCTGGAGGCCAGCGGGGGAACTGCAGCTGCCCGGCCGGGGCGGCGCCGGGCTTGGAGAAACGCAGAGGGGGCGCCGAGGAGAGACTGGTGTGGAGAGACTGGTGTGCGGGAAGAAGGACGGGAAGGAAGAGGAAGAAAAAGAGGAGGAGGAAAGGCAAGTGTGGCCCACGAGAAGGAAATCCCAGGGAACAGCGCAGTCTCCAGCCTGGGAGGGAAGGATGGGCACCGCTCAGCCTACCCGCAGCAGTTGACCTAGCTGACCCCTTCCTCGGATACCCCTTGAGGCCGACCAGCTGCGCTCCTGGGGCTCCCAGTGCAGGGCTAGGCGCGAAGCACAGGCAGAGGCGACCAACTGCGGTGCGGCGCGAGGGAAGGTGGACTTCCTGGAGGAGGCACCTCTGGACCCTGGTCGAAAGGTTAGGTAGGAGTTTGCCTGTGGGGCAAATAAGGAAGCGCATTCCTGGCAAAGGAATCAACTGGCAAAAAGGAGTGAACAATTACCCCTGCCTCTCTCTTTCCTGATGTTTTTTAATACACAGACACTGACATAAACTGTTTTCTGGGGGCCTATTCGCCGTTGCGAGAGAAGGAGCTCTGGAATTGTACAATTTGTGTTCAGGTTCCAGACTCTTCCCAGTTAGCAAGCTGCTCAGGCTCCTCATCTGGCAACTGGGGATGATCCTAGCGCAGGATAGTTGAGAGGAGTACGCCTGGGAGTTCCTGGCACAGGAACTGTGTGTGTGTGTGTGTGTGTGTGTGTGTATGTGTGTGTGTGTGTGTGTGTGTGTGTGTAGAAGAACAGGGTTGTAGGTCAGAGGTGCAGGAGTGAGAGGATTCACCAGAGACAGAGTGGGGAACAGAACAGGCGGATTGACTGAAATATACTGTTAAGGGGAGCAGCAGGTGCAACAGGAGAGGCCTGCTGTGCCATATGTGGATTAGCTCCCTGTCCAGGGATCAAACTCAGGCTATAGCGGTGATAGCACTGAGACTTAACCCCTAAGCCACCAGGGAGGCCCCATGACAAGTACTGATAAATGTTAATTATGATTATCTGCCAATAGATGTTTCTGGGGGCCTATCTGGTGGCACAAAGAGTTAAGCACAGCACTATGAAGCTGTCCACAGCCTCTGCAGCACAAGTTCTATCCCCCGCCAGGGAGCTACCCACATGGTGCAGCAGCTGTCTCCTGACTCTCCCACTGCTCCCCTCAGCAGTATGTTTCAGTAGATCCGCCTGTTCTGCTCCCCACTCTGTCTCTGGTGAATCCACTCACCCCCTGCACCTCTAACCTGTACTCCACTTCTTGTATGTATAAATAAATAATTATTTTAAAAAAATAGATGTTTCTGGAAGTTGGCAGCTATATTAGGACCCAGATGCCTGCTAGCCTCTGGATGAGGGGAACAGAAACAAGAATAAGATGTAGATCTTGTCTCAATACCGCCTGCCACTATGGTTTAATTATTTGATTATGAAACCATATCAGTAAAAAATATTGAGCAGGTGCCCATGATATCTGTAGTTTCTTAGTGTATACTGCTTATATGTTTATAAATTATACATGTGTCCTGTGAGAATAGGCTGGCTTTGTGGTTGTGAGAGTGAGCCTGGGATTGAATGTTGACTGGCTGCTTTCCGGTGGTATGATGGTGAGCTGATTCTTCAAACTCTCTGGCTTCTGTAAAATGGGAATAACAAGAGTACCCACCTCATTAGGGTTTTATGAAGCACTCAGTGTCTTGTGCACAATGCTTAGATGAGAGCTTGGCCACAGTCCATGCTATGAACTGCTGCCCAAATTGACATCACCACTGTTCCGTGGAATCAGCTGTAGAGCACACACATTAGAAAAGAAAGGGGGGGAGGGACCTCCCTGGTGGTGCAGGTGGTTGAGCGCCACGCTGTGAAGCTGTCTGCAGCCTCTGCAGCATGGGTTCAATCCCGGCTAGCCAGCAAGAATCCCACATGGCAAGGCAGATTTCTCTTGTCTCACCCGCTGCTCCCCTCAGCAGTGTATTTTATCAGCCTGCCCGTTCTGTTCCCCGCTCTGTCTCTGGTGAATTCTCTCACCCTCCCGCACATCTGGCCTGTACCCCAGCTCTTGTATAAAAATAAATAAATCTTTAAAAAAAAAAAAAAGGGATTTCAGGTCCCTCCCTGTTGATGCAAGGGGTTAAGTCTCAGCACTATGAAGCTATCAACAGCCACTGCAGCATGACTTCGATCCCCAGCCAGAGAGGTGACCCACATGGCAAAACAGACCTCTCCTGTCTCGCCTGCTGCTCCCCTCAGCAGTGTATTTCAGTCAATCTGCCTGTTTGCCTGCTCTGTTTCCCGCTCTGTCTCTGGTGAATCCTCTCACCCCCTGCACCTCTGGCCTGTACCCCAGCTCTTATATGCATAAAATAAATGTTTTTTTTTAAAAAAAGAGAAAAAACTGGGATTTCAAATAAATAGAAACTGAAATTTGAGTGCTTCCTTCTGCACTCTGATATGTCGCAAATATTCATAGGGCATGTGGCGTTAAGCTCATCCCCAGGCAGGAGGCCTGATTGTCATAGGCATCTGTGGGCTTGAAACTGACTACACATGAAGGTCTGGGGACCACTGCCTCCTTGAACAGAGACTCTTAAATGAACTCACAACACAGAGGAAAAGACTTCTGTGAATTGGGGGAGCTAGGGAGGAAATAAGGGATGTTCCTGGGAAGGTTCAAGCTGGCACAACTGCTGACAAAGAGATACAGTCCAGTCAGACAACCATAAGAGCCCAGAGGAAGTAAGTCCCTTCAGAGAACGTCAAGTACATGGGAGGTAGCAGTGTTTAATAGGACCTGGAAATGCTTCATCATTACCAATGTAAACTGTCTCTGAGGGGCCTCCCCTGGTGGCGCAGGCGGTTGAGCACTGCCCTGTGAAGCTGTCCGCAGCCTCTGCAGCATGGGTTCGATCCTGGCCAGCCTGCGAGGGTCTCATATGATATAGCAGACCTCTCCTGTAGCACCCGCTGCTCCTCTTAACAGTGTATTTCAGTCAGTCTGCCTGTTCTGTTCCCGGCTGTCTCTGATGAATGTTCTCACCCTCCCACGCATCTGGCCTGTACCCCGGTTCTTGTATAAATAAATAAATAAATAAATCTTTTTTTTTTTTAAAAGAATATGTTTATTAAAAAAAAAAAAAACTGTCTCTGAGGCTGTGAATCGCTTTTCCTGCCCCTCCACTTTCTTCAGGCGTCTCCCCTGCTCAGGAAACAGCAATAGTTGCCTATTGTCTGCGCCAACAAAACCCCACTTATTGGTAGGCTCTGACAACCCTCAAAATCTGCCTCCCCAACCTCTACCCTCCCCCCCCCACACACACACACACAAAAATACTCCTACAATCTCCTTCCCTCAGCTCTGCTGCCTGGTCTCTTCACTCTCGCCAAATACATCACCCAAAGACTTGCTTTATTTGGGCCTATTGTCCAGAGGGCCCCCTAAATTTACATTTTTCTATCCCCAAAATTTTATACTAAGGGTACAAACTTGATTCTGAGTGCTCCACATAATAACTCCTACGTGTGACCCTGTGTGTACCACTTTCAAAGTGTTTCCAAAGATCACATCATTCTTTTTGGATGATGAAATAGGAAGGGTGGGTGTTATTATTCCCCCTTGCGTTGGTGAAGAAAACTGAGATTCAGAAAAACTCTAGATGGCCAGCTCAAGGTCAGTGGCAGAGCCAGGATGCAAATGAACACCAATGTCCTCAGCTCCTCACTCTGCCCTTCCCGGTCACACAAACTCCCCTAGGCATCCCCCAGACCTGTATCCTCTCTGCTGCCTCTATTCTGTGGTCCTTCCACTCAGTGTCCTTAGCACAAAACTGTGCCCTCCCCCCTCCCCAGTAATGTCTTACCCCAAACAGGTGCCCATAAAAATTTGGTTTTTCTGTATTGCAGTTTCTACTTGTTAACCAACTGAAAAAGGAGGTGACATCCCTAGGGTCCTGGGTTGTGAGCTCACTTAAGGGGCTCTGTTCAAGGAAGGCAGTGGTTTCCAAACCTACCTGCGCAATCAATTTAGAGCCCGTGGAAGCCTGAGGGGTCTGCCTGCCTCTGGAGGTGAAAACAACTATCTTTGCTTTGAAAAGAGACTACAGCTTGAAACAGTGATAATGACAATGGTGATGCAATTTTAAACAAGTTAACCTATCTATCTACTTGTTTTCATTCAGGCATTTCCTCCTCGCTTTCCCCCACACAGACAGGTAAGTGCCTCTGTTCACTACTCAGAGAGTGCCATGGGAGTAAAGCAGAACGTTGGTGCCTCTGTAAATCTTCGTCCATTGAGGAGAATGTGCCCAGTGCCTCTTTCCTGAAACACTAGAAAAAGAGGGGGTGATGGGAATACAGATGTCATGCACCAAAACTCAAAGGTGGGCATGAGACCCAGGTGAAGGAGTGGCTGGAGAGTGAGTCCAGACAGATGGGGCCTTCCTTATGTGGCCTCAATGAGCTCGCCAGATGCATGTGGCTTGGGCATGATGGAAGGATTCCTGTGCCCCAGAAGTAACAAGGTCATAATGGGAATGTTGCTGGATGTGGCGGGGCCCGGTGCTCTCCATCCAGGCAAGACAGGCAAGAGAGGACAGTGAGGGTTGATGGAGGTCTCAGAAAACATTTTGATCAGAAGGCTGGAATGGCCCTACAACATTTTGGTTCTACATAAGGCCCCTAAGACATGGGCCTCCCCTGGTGGCGCAGCAGTTGAGCGCTGGGCTGCGAAGCTGCCCACAGCCTCTGCAGCACCGGTTTGATCTTGATCCTCAGCCACCAGGAGAGGGTCCCACATGGCCACAGACCTCTTCTGCCGCTCGCTGCTCCCCTCAGCAGTGTACTTCGTCTGTCTGCCTGCTCTGTTCCCCGGTCTGGCTCTGGTGAATTCTCT